ACTCATTAAAAACCCAAAGGGAGAACTATCAAATAAGTTATTGAACTTTCATAAAAAGTGCAAATAAGCCCTTTTAGAGGAAGCTCTGTCCGGCCATTGCCATTTGGGGCGGTTTCCGGTTGAAATTTTTGATGAAATTTTTTGAGTCTTCTTCATTAAGTCTAGTTTATACATACCAAATTTCCGCTAAAAATTCAATCGGTGGTAAGACAGTCAAATGAATTTTTTAAGATAACTGCGCAGTTAGACAACACAATATATTTCAGAAAATCATTTGACTAACTTCTCTATTGAATTTTTAGCTGAAATTTATTATGGGGAAACTAGACTTAATGAAGAAGATGCTCAAAAAAATGCATAAAAAAACTCCACCGGAAACCGCCCCAAACGGCGACAGCTGGACAAAGCCTCCTGTAAAAGGGCTTATTTTCACTTTTTATGAAAGTTCGAGGGCTTATTTGATAGTTCTCCCAAACCCAAAAGATCATAATCAATGGGAAAATAATAAATGTCTAAGAAGTAAATATTTTTAAAAAAACTCAAATAAAAAAATTAAAATGAAAAATGTTTAACATACTTAAAATTTTGGGAAAATTATAAAAAGAAAACTTAATATAAAATTTATATTAATGATTATAAAATATCAAAAGTAGTTATAAATTTATGTAAGCATTATTTTTTAAAATCAGAATACATACAATATGAAAAAGATTCTAAAATTTTCAAATAAATATATAAAATTTGAAAAATGAAGTACTCAAAGTTAAAATATGAAAAAAAATATAAAAATTGGAAAGTTGTTATTTAAATATAGGGAAAAAAGAAAACGAGTTTAAATTAAAGAAAACAGAAGAATATAGAAAACTTAATATACAAAACTTAAATATAATTACAATAATATTTAAGTTTACAATAATTACATTACAGATGTGCCAAAAATGAAAGGAGTGAGCATTTATATTACTGTAAATTTTTTAAATGAGAGGAAGGTCTTGTTTGACAATCGAGTGTTATAACTAGTTATATTAGCCGTTTGAAAACAACTAATTGAATTAGCTATTTTGAATGACGCGTACGGACATTATTGTATACTTGCTTATTTTGTTAGTGATAACAGTAAAAATTGTTTTGATTACAATTATTGCTCCCTCCATACCTAAATTAAATTCTCACTTTCCTTTTTGGGATATCCCTAAATTAAAGTCTCAATTTCTCACTTCCTTATACGGTAAACAAATACTACGTGTGTATCAAACAAGGTCAAACATTGCAAAACAATGTACTCTACAGTAAAATTTACTCATCGGTAAATTAATTTCCTTAATATGTGTGAAGTCAAACTATGACATTGATTTAGGGACGGAGTAAATACAAAATAAAAAGAATTGTGAATATTTGAAATTACAAAAAATAACTAAACAATTAATTTGAATGAATAACTAATTTCTGACTTGAAAAGGAATTAAATTATTTTGTATGTTCAGTGATATTTGTTAACGACCCGTGTAAACAAATTTAAGGGGCCTTGTATTTGACAACATCTTTTTATTAGCTAGGAATGATAATTTATGGGTCAGTAAATAATGTACGTTTCCATATTCCTTGCATGCCAAAGTGGATGCAGATGTTCCCTTACACTCGCACCACTTCACCTAGGGGTGGATTCGGGCCGGGTCGGGTCCGGGCCGGGCCTAGGCCCGGTCGGGCCGTCGGTTCGTATCACATGGGTCCGGGACCGGCCCGAGGGTTGGACGGGTCCGGTTCGGGCCGGGCCACCAGCCCGGGTCACGGGTCGGGTCACCCGTCGGGCCGGGCCGGGCCGGGTCGGTTATTTTTTTTTAATTTATATTTTATACTTTATAGTTTTATACAAGTATTAAAAAACAAACTTCAAGTGCATTTATTTGAAATGAAATAAGAACTACATTTGAAAATTAAATAGGAACTATAATTGTTTTTAAAACATGAAATATTAATCAATCATTCAATATTTCAATCGGAATCTCCGGCATAGGTAGAGTCACCCTCGGTTGTAGATTCATCCATAAAGTGTGGGATGGGGTGATGTCAATTTCTTGAGCTCTACGGACTGCTTTCAACCAATCGTGATAGCGTATAAGCATCTCAAGAGATTCAGCGCTCAAGCTCGTTCTGGTTTGTGTTAGGACATTGCCGGCCGAACTAAATTCTTGTTCCACGGCAACCGTTGAAACCGGCATTGATAGCACTTGCTTAGCCATCTTTGCTAAAACGGTAAAACCGGGAACATTCTTTCTTTTCCCTTCCACCGGTTTAGTACGTCAAAATCATCCTATTCTTCAAAATCAACATCATAAGTTAAATACAAAGAAATCTCATTAATTGTGCTTTGTTGTGTAGCGGGAGTTGATTTCATTTTTTTAATAAGATTGGCAAACGTAGATTTGAAAATTGATTTTCCTTTAGATGATGTTTGTGTCGGGGGAGGGGGCGCATTGTCATATTGTGCATGAAACTCATTGAATAATGCATAAAATATATCACTAACCTCGTTGTATTCTTTTTTCGGATCAATTGGGTTGTCCTCATACATTGGCAATGGACCAAAAAAAGCAGCATAATAATAATTCAAACATTCTTCTAAAGAACCAAGTCTAAAACGAGGATCGAGAACAAATGCAATACAATAAATATGCGGAATATGTGAATAATATTTTAAAAACTTTTCCTTCATAAAACTAGCATCACATAATCAGCATTCTCAAAATTTGAAAAAGCACCGGCGAGATTAATAGCTTCACGAATAAATTGGTTTGAGGTAGGTTTATAAACATGACTAAAAGTTTCAGTTGCATTATTAAAATATATCAAAGCATTACAAATTTTTTCACAGGTGTCGATCTCAACCGAGTTTATAATATAGTTATCATATTGTTTCATAAAAGCAGGAAAATGTTGTTTATATCTAAGAAGAACTCCAATTAACTTATAGGTACTATTCCAACGAATAGACAAATCTTTAGGAAAAGCCACATATCTCTCACCTCTTTCTATTAAATAATCATGCCATTTTTTCCTAAATTGTCCATTACCCCAAATACGTCTAATCCCCCCCCCCCCCCCCCCCCCCCCCCCCCCCCTTGACTACCTCCAACGATGCTCCCAACGCTTTTAGACCATCTTGCACACATAAATTTAGAAAATGACATGCACATCGTTGATGAAAAAATGTACCCATCAAAGAAGTAGAATCACACAATTCACGCAATCTAGGAATAGCAGCAGTATTATTAGTAGCATTATCAAAACCAATAGCAAACACCTTATCAATTAAATTATACTCAATTAAAATACGCTCAATCAAACTATAAATATGTTCAGCGGTGTGACGATCATTCAATTCACGGAAAGCAAGAACACGTTTATGCATATGCCAATCATTATCAATATAATGTACAGTCAGACCCAAATAATGTAAATTATGATAAGTATCCTCTCATATGTCAGAACATACAGTAACACGTCCATCAAAGTTTGCAAAATAATTTTGTAACTTTACCTTTTCCACACCATAAAGCCTTGAAATTTCTTTCTTAACCGTTTTGCGACTATAACCTCTATATTGCGGATTTAAACAAGTTTGTGCATAATCACGAAAAGCAAGACTTTCAGAAAACAAATAAGGCAAATTTTCTTCAACAAGTAAGTTAGCCATACATGTCAAATTTTGTGCATCATTGTATGAGAAATTATCAAAAGCTTGTTGGTTATTTGCAAACCTCGATATTTGTGTTTGCTTCCCCGTTCCGCCGCCTAATTTTGCATACTCCACCGGGTGTTTGGACTTAAGGTGTCTTGTGGCGGATCCGTATCCGCCGGAAATCCCCAAGCTATAGTTTTTCTTGCACCAATTGCAAGTTGCGGTCTAATTCCCGGTGTTCGGGTCCTTCCACTTAGAAAAATTATTAGCCATTAGTTCAGATTTACTTTTTTTTGTACCTGTTTGGGATGAGGCTGGTTGGTCGGCGTCATGGCTGCCGCCACCCTCCTCCTCCTCGTCGTCGTGGCTCTCGGAATTACTTCCTCCACATCGTCGTCCTCGTCCTCGAACTCTTCTTCGTCAATGGTCCTCAGTTGGTCTTGATAAAGGCGGGAATTATGTCGCCCATTCCCACTGGTTCAGGTCCACACCCGGTCCTGGACCGCCCGACCGGGCCGGTCCAGGGCCCGCACAGTACCGGGCCGGGTCGGGTCACGGGCCGGGTGGCCCGAACCGAATCCACCCCTAACTTCACCACAAGGGTAAAATGGCACCATTAAATCTTGGAAACACAAAAAACAATTTTTTTGTTTTGTTTTATGTAGCAACACCCAAGGATTGACAGATCACTAAAGCCAGAACTTTTTTGAAGCGGAGCACTCCCACATAGATGAAAATGGGTCGGATCGGATCAAATCGGGTGTATCATTAATCTTTTTTGTCAAGTGCGTTCAGATTTTTTATTTTTAACTGCAAATAGATTATTCAATGATGATTTCAAGCAATGAACATATATGGATTACAAGTCTAGTTTTGAATTTATTAAGACAATTCTAAACAATATATATGACTTTTTGAAAGAAAGATATAATTTGGATCAGAAATGATTCATCTTTGCACCATTTCTGGTTTTACATTAGAATTCTCATTACTTTTTATACTATAAAATGATCAAGATTTCATATCTGAACTAGAATCATGTCAAATGTTACACATTGTGCCACAAAATTTGTTGATACTTGTCTGGAATATAATACTATCGTGTTAAATATGAAGTATAGATCATGTTCATGATTTCATTCTTTAATACAACTTTATTTAATAATATGATTCTATATATCTAACATTCATGATCATATTATAGATAAAAAATTCAAAGAGTACGTTGGTTTGAAACTAATTTATCACAAATTGACACATTTTTTCATGTATAGACTTCGATTCAAGATAAAAGTCTTGCATCTATTAAGCTCATCCTACATATAAGAACACTTGTCATATCTTTGACCTTTAACTTTGAACAACCATTATTTACACCAAGTAAGAAAATCATCAATATCACTTTTCAATCAAAGTGAGTAATCAATGTCTAACTATAAGGATTTGCTCCATCACAACTTCGTGGATATTTATAATTTATACTATGCATAGTAACTATAGTAATATTTATGTCCATTTGTTCTACTTAGGTAATATTTATGAAATAATCTCTAGTTTTTTTGACCGCGTTGCGGGGGCACAATTTTTATCTTTAAGTACTAATCTTAAACTTCAGGGTCGGAAGCGGGGGCACTTGCCCCCCTAGGACCCTCCTAGGTCCTCCACTGGGTACAAAACAAAACTCAACTCATTTGTCTAAAGCTGCAAGTGGAGTTGCACTAGCAAGAGATCATCCCAATTGAACCACTGTTTCTTATTTAGGTTTAAGATTAATGCAATAAACACGGGATCCCAAATGCTTAACTTCAAGACCAGCTTTTTCACAACCAACAAAAAACAGTGACTCGTCTTCTTTCCCTATTCTCCGCCTCCAGCTCATTAGGAACGCTGGTCTGGGCAATGCAGACAACACATCTGAGATCCCAAAATCAATATGTGTTTAGTAGGATGTTGTTCAAAAGAGGACGCACAAGGAAAAAACAATATAGAACAGCCATTTTCCGTGTATAAAAAGAAAGTGGCAGAGGTCAAGACAGAGGGAAACACTGCATACCATGTTGTTCATAACCTGGAGAATCAGAGTCAATAACTTCAGGTGTATACGTTTTCAGCAAATATGACAGTGTTTTGATCAAATTTGGATACTGTTTAACATCTGCATGGAGTGTAGAATGCAAAAGGGAATCAAAATGTATACATAACAAATATTGGCACATGAAAGTTCCTATAATGTTCGTCAACATTAAGAAAAAGAAAATGTGAGGGCATTCATCACCAAAAAATGTAAGAGTAATCCACTTCAGTTTATGTGGCTTATACTAGAGTTTACAGTTCCACCCTAAAAGTAGTTCAACTACGCGGGGTAGCCCAAGACTTTATAGGTTGGTTAACTTAGTTTCTATCTTTATATTTGGATAGTAAAATTGGCCTAACGCTTATTAGGAGCAGATAATTTTTTAAGCCAGTACACTCATTGTAGAGTCTTAGTTGTAACGCATGGCTTGTTTGAGCATAATGGTGGTGAGATACCAGTAAGGTTTGGCATTCCATTCTAAAAGGTTTTAGGTCAGCCTGATAAGTGCAATAATTCAGGACCTTGTATGTTTGGATTATATTTTTATATTTGGCCTTTAAGATGGTTTAATAGTTTAGACACTTTACAGCCTTGCAGGTAATGAATGCTCATGGCACATCAAATCAAATACTTACACAGCAAGATATCGCTTGCAATTATCAAGTCCCAGTGTGAGTCGGGAATCGGAAAGGCATCTCCCCATGTATCTGGCAATTTAAAAACTTAAATCACGAAAAAAGAAAAGCTACCAACATACCCAATGAACATTAAGCAGAGTTGAATAGAAATCAAAAAAATAAAAAAGAACCAACGGTTTAAATGAGGATGAGCAGGTGAAATTCCATTGGTTTGGAAGTTATGGGATATATTCTCCTCGATAGATCTGTCATCATAATCTGATGTCGTGATATCAAGCTTAAATGATTTGTGTAGAAAGATGGCCAATGCACCAGTTCCACTGTAAGAATGATAAACATTATTAAGAAAGCCCAATATAATATTTGGAATTACAGATTTTTTCAGAAAGCTTTCAAGATACTTCAAGCATTTAATTAGCATTTAATTACCACAGATTTCTTATAAAGAGGGAAAAAAAGACACGCACATAAATTACTTCCAATGGAGGGAAAAAGAAATACTTTTGAAACAAACATAAAAGACTTACGATTAAGATGAATAAAAACACACACAAATCTTCAATTGCTAACATGTTTACCTTTGCTTACGAATTTGGACATGTTCAAGGTAGAAGACGAGACCATTTTTGTTTCTAAAGCATAGAAGGAAGGCAATTAATTCAGGATGCTAGATGCATAAGTAGTTAAGTATATAGTTAACTGTTTTATGCGAGTTAAACTGAGATGGGTGATAATTTGATATCATCGTCTTATGAAGATATATAAGTTTTTGTTTGAGTGGACCTGCCCTTTGGGATATAATTTCTACGATTATAAATCCTTTTTGTGAAAGTTGGCTGCTTAGGGGTGGGTTCGTAGAACCGAAAACCGAAAACCGAATCAAATCAAATCAAACCGTGACCAAATAAACCGAACCGATGAAAAACCGAAACCGAACATAAAAAACCGTACCGAACCGAACGTGTTTGATTTCAAATCGAACCGAAACCGAAAAAACCGAAATATTTATAAATATAAAAAAATCATTTATTTTATATGGAGTATATGGCCGGTCATGTGGTCAATGCTCAAGACCGAAAGCGTAAGAGGCTTTTTACGAGTCCAGTAGTCCTGTAGGACTCCATAATCTTTTAACCTAAAACGTAAGAGACTTATTTTGCTGCACTATATTCAAGTTTACTGCACTTGGGACTGCATTTTAAATTGTTGCACTATATCCAAGTTTACTGCACTTGGGACTGCATTATATTTTGCTGCACTATATCCAAGTTTACTGCACTTGGGACTGCATTTTATTTTGCTGCACTATATCCAAGTTTACTGCACTTAACTTTTAAATGTCATGTACTGATGTTTAATGCACTTTATTTAAATTGTAAGACAAGGATTGACTTTCATCATTTCAGTTTAATGCATTTGCTTTTTTCTTTTTATTTTGGGACTGCATTTTATTTTCATTTCAGTAGGGACTGCATTTTATTTTGCTGCACTATTTTCAAGTTTATTGCACTTAGCTTTTAGGTGTCATGTACTAATGTTTAGTGCACTATATTTAAATTGTAAGGCAGGGATTGACATTCTTCGGTACTTAGTGTTTTATTTTCCTGCACTTTGATTATTTGCACCTCATTTCTTTTTTCAGAAAGTATGTGTCTTTTTGGTTTAAAACCGAAAAAACCGGAGTCAAACCGAACAAAACCGAACTGATTCAACCGTGGTTGGACAAAAAAGTATGAGCAAACCGAACCGAACCGAAGTTTTTAGTTTGATTCTACATTTGGTTTTAGGTCAAAACCGAACCGCATAAACCGAACCCACCCCTTGAGTAGTCTGAAGAGCAATAATTTCCCATCATTCAAAACAATGACCTAATGTGTCATATCTTTGCCAATGTCTCCATATTTATGTTGATCATCAGTATTTGAGAGGTGAAAATATCACATACGGATAACTCGTTTCCATCCAACTTCACACCATGATAAAACACTTCAAATTTTGTGTTTTAAGCTAGTTTATCTTGATTTTGCTGTGCATATATTGTAAATTTCTTTCAAGATAGATTACAAGCCCGAATGTTGTTCAAAGACATTCTGATATTTAGTGACCGAAACAATAGCAATTAAGGGGTTGTTTGGATTCTCATATTAGGTCAGGATAAGTATTCCCGCTACCCACCTCTCCACTGTTGGTTTATCAAGTTTTGTATGACCTTACCACACAAAACTTGGGATTATAATCTTATTTGGATATAGACATAAAATTACCAAGTCTCTTTTTAGCACCACAGTACTGTTATACTATCCTCCGTTCTTAATCGTAAAATGTTGAATTTTACACTATTCACATGTTCTACACAAATTGTACTATTCAACTTGTCTCATTAGCATTTTTCAAAAACTGATTTTTTATTTTTTTTGGTAATAGAGAATAAGATATATTGACGGTCAAAGGTGTGCATTGGCAATTTGCTAAGTAGATGAACTGAGGAAGTACATGAATTACTATTCCCTTATGTATTCATTTTTGGCTTGTTCGGTAATCATGCCAAGCTTTACTTGGCAAGTCCATTAATTAAACCCAGGATGGGCTTTGATTTAGGACTCCCTTATTTATGCCAAATGCCCAGCTTGATTAGTTATCTACATTTATTAAGTCTTGAAAACAAAAAAAAAAGAGTAGATAAATAAACCCACAAAAAATGACACATATAAGAAGTTACTTCCTCCGTTCTTTTTTATTTGCAACGCTTCCATTTTCACGTTTGCCAACACACATCTTTGACCATTAAAATATTTAATTCCTTAATTGTAAAATTTTCAAAAAAATCATATTTTAAAATTTTAAAGTGAAAAGAATTTTATTATATTTAAAAAAAATGATGCATTCGTAAATAAAATATAGTCAAAGTAGAGCACATGAATAATGTAAAATTTCTAATGTTGCAAGTTGCAACTATTTAAGAATGGAGGTAGTATATACAAACTTTTAACATCACTTTGTATAATAGCTTCATGTAAAAAAACATACCACAAATGCTTCATGCATCTCATGAGTTAGAAATGCGTATAAGCTTAAGAGGAATGATGATTGAGTTAGGCACTTGGGCTTGTTCAAGTACCAAACTAATATGGAATGCAAACTTTTAGAGCAGGGTTTTAAGCCTACAGATGTTGCTATCATGTTGCTATCAACATTGCTATACCCTACAATAATGCAACTCTCATACCAGATATCAGAGTTAGCAATAACAATTCTTTCACTACAGCTATAAACTCTATCCCGCCTTGTAAAGTGATATAAAATCCCAGCCCTGCTAGGATTTGAACCAACCAAATCTAGATTTCTGTTCAAAGTGTCAAATGCTTAGTCTTATATGCAAATTGCAAACACGGCAAATAAGGTGATCTTATCAAATTAAATTTCAACCACTGGATCAAACCGAATGAAGGCCTCTAAGCATATGGAATAGTGTAAAGCGTGAAAAGAAACACAAAGCTTCTCAATATGGAGTCTAGAAAGAGGGGTACCTGCCTAACTCAAGTATCTTCCGACCTTCCAACCAGGATCTATGATCAACTAGCCACTCTGCAAATGCAAACGTCCCAGGCCAAAGTAAATTTGCATTCAACTCGTGGAAACAAAACTCTCGAACAAGCAATACCTGTACACAAAACCAATATTTATACGATTAATATATAAGAACAACATTGGCCATAAGCAGTGGCGAAGACAGAAATGTTGTAACTAGAGGGCCTGCACTTCAAATTTTATACTTTGAGGCCAAAACTTCATATTCTCCTAAGTTTAGGAAAGCCCGGTCTTGAGTCCTGACATTTATAGACTGAGCCAGACGGGAGAATATAAGAAGATTGAATCTAATGGATGCTATAGAAATGTAAAACAAAAGTTTTATTATCAAACCAAAATACAAAACTTAAATCAACCAAATGTAAAACCAAGACACCAAAGAAGCTAATTAGAAACACTTTTTATTGGCAAAATTTAACTATTAAACATTTATATTAGAGTATTTGATGGATGATGATAGATGAAGCTACATGCTTAAATTGGACGGAACAAAGTAGCACAGCTACTACTTGCAATTAGAGAGGCAAAGGATACATCATATATGGAGTAATGTTTTTCAAATACATTAACGCTTGGATATATGGCTACATACATCACACTTTCATGTTACTCCCATGCCCCAGAGGAAGCCCTGAATTTCGGATATTGTCTCAATTAACGCTTTGAACTTCCAAAGAACCCTAAAACGTTTAGACTTTCCCCCTTTGTTGGATAATTAAGAAGTGTGAAATCATTTCACGAGAATTACCATCCCAGGAAACTGGTGGCTCCTCTCTACAAAGTTTTGGTTTTGAGAATCTGTAATCTTCTCATCTGCAAAGAAGCCTCCTAGCGTGATAAAAAGTGGAGCATATGATAGTGTGAGGAATAACATAGAAGAAGGTAAGTACACTGGTACCAGCAGAGTTGTCGTCGGAGTCGGCGAATAGAGCAGCTGGTGAGAAGAGAGCTGTTTCCATAGTACGTACAGTACGTAGTTATAATTCTAGAGAAGATGGGGAGAAGTGGAGAAAGAGTTCTTACAAAAGAAAAAATACCCCCATGTTTTTCATTGCACTCAAATTTTCTACCTGGTTTGGCCTCCTAGTTTGGCCTTAACAATTTTGATAGGTTTACCCAAAATTGTGTCCACCTTTGACACTCCATATAAAAGAGAGAATTCCATACATAAGACTAAAAGAAGGTAAAATTGTAAAAACAAGATTACTATGTTTTATTGAACAAATATAGGACAAAAAAGAGCTGAGAAAATTTTACAAATAGGACATAAAAATAGGAAATTTCTAAAACTAGGACTACATCTACGCGTAGGACTTTGAGTTGTTATGACCATTTAACCCTTACTTTTAAATTGCCAAATGGATCAAAGGACTCCTTTCAAACCGCAGGCCCAACTACAAACCGCGAGCCCAACTTGAAACGACAAGCTCCATTTCAATTAACGTCTCCAAAGCTGCAGAAAGCTTCAACGGAAAACACAAATGGCTGAGTACTACCGACGAACATCAAGCAAGTTTTGACGACCAACGAAGAGCATTCCGACGAACTGAAAGCTATGAAAGCAATTTTAGGCAGTAATGGCAAAGAGAAAGAAAATCGAGAATGAGGCAAACGTTGAAAACGTAGAAAAGGAAGAAAACTCTGAAAGCGACTTCGACACAAAGATGCCAAGTCCCAACGAAACGGAGAAGGAGAAGGAAATTATACTTCCATTTGGTCAGGTAATGTATTTAATGACTTCATTAGAGAAAAGTAATATAAATTTCGTAAACAATTATATTGATATATGTTGTTTACAAACAAAGTAGAAGTAATATTTATCTGAAATGATGAATCAAATGTTCGTAGAGTAATGTTGATGTCAGATGTGTTATTTGAGTTCTAGTAAATACTGAATATTTTATACCTTATTTGATTTTGTCCATACATGCTTGCAACAATTAACATATCATTTATTTCATATGACTTAAGGTATGAAGCATTTGATGTTAGATTACACAATATATGAGTTGTGCTATCAGACAGTACATTCAAATTTATAATTGAGTATTGTTGTCCAATTATGCCTTATGATTATAGTACATATATAAATTATAAATACGAAAATGTCAGGCAATTGTAAGATCTTGCACAAACCCTGTTCTTATGACCAAGAAGAAGTCAAAGTTAAACTGTTATTCAAATGTACATACTGCCACTGAAACCATAAGGAAGCTACTAAAGGAGGACCAACTTGAAGAATTCAGAAAAAGCACATTTGGTGGATTGCTGGAAATAGGTAACCTAGAGTGGATGAATGGATAATTACTTGTCCTGTTTGTAGAAAATGTTAGTATATATGTTCTAGCGACAATCATTTTTTTAAAGACATATGTACTTGATCACATTTAGTTTTTATATTTGATATATACACGATATTAAACTTTATGAATGATTGTTTTCGATTGTCAATGTTTTATTCATAATTGTGTTTCCTTGGATTTATGTTGTCAATAAGTAAGTGGGAGCTTATATGATATAACATAAGGTCCTAAAATAGCCCCAATCAATGATCATCAAGAATGGGATATTGATGATATGCGATAAGATTGGTATGTGGACTGCATCATACTTTTAGAAAGTATAGTTGATCTCACAACTATGAGTTCCTGTAATTCATGATGGTCACATAGATAATTTAGAGAATATTGGTATACCCACCGAGAAACCATTTGATAAGTTCTATTCATGTGTCTATGGGATTATCGGCGTATAGAGTAGTGTAATAGTCCTCCGACTTGAGGTCAATACGTACTACATGTGCGGAGTGATGTACTTTGACCATGACCAACGCTTGCACTCCAATCGGGGTAGATACGGCATGTGTTGGGTGCATCACGAAGCACATGGAGTAGTAGTTGAGCCAAGAAAGGATTCATTCCTCATAATAGATTAAGAGAGAACATTCTACTTCTCATATCTAGATGGATCATAAAGTCATTGACCAATGCAAAGATATATTCGTTTTGGATATCGAATATGATCGTTATGGATCATCTAGAAAGATTGAGAGACAGAGACTGAGTTATTGGGATAGACACTATATCATGTTCTAGACTTAGTTGAATGTTCGCTGAATGAAAGGACCGTATCACTATGAGCTCTATATTACAGGGAGTTTGAATAGTCCTCGCAAACGTTCTTATATATTAAGATTGTCTGGTAAATCGTCTAGGGATTCTACTAAGACCTTAATTTGATTAGTGCTTAATATATAAGGCCCTATGGGTCACACAATAAGTGATTATACCTTCCGATTGAATTGTTAGAAGGAATTAAATATTATTAATTGGATTAAATAATATTTAATTCATAATACTGAAAATGGATTAAATATTAATTAGATTAAATATATTTAATTCATGATGTTGAAGGAGTATTCTATTTGATAGAATTAATTAAGTGTGATAAATTAGATTTATTATACTTAATTAAGATGTATTTATTATTTAATAAAGTTGATATTTTCTTTTGTAATTTAGAATTAAAAAGAAAAGTAAATAAACTAAATAATAATATATATAATAAATAGAGAGTGGCGTAAGACCACTTCTCTATTGTGGTTATTATTATTATTATTATTATTATTATTTTGGTTTATTTTATCTACTTATTTAATTAATAAGGAGTATTGGTCCTGGCGGGATTAGGACTCATTAATTAGAAAGACTTTCATTGTGATTCAGAAACTAGTTTAGAACTAGTATAAATACATCCACCTCATTCATAATTAGCGACAAGTTTTCAGATTCAGTATTAACAGTTTATTTCCCTGCGAAGAGATTTCCTAGCCTTTCTCTTAGGGAGATCTAACCGTTCTTTCGGGAAGGAGAAATCACGTGGATACCAAAGGTCAAGGATTATCACTGCTAGACTGGAAGATCTGTAAGTTCTAACTCAGATCTGTTATTATTATCATATTCGTTATTTTGTCATAATCAGGGAAGATCTGTTTGGGAAAATTTTAAACTTCCGCTGCCGTACTTTCGAGGTACGTTACATCAATTTCCCAACAGTGGTATCAGAGCCAAACTGATTCTAATGACATGATGCGAATTTTGGTTGTTATTTGAGTGGATCAAAATCTATATTTTACCAGAAATACTATTTCGTAGTATTCTTGTTCCATTTTGATTTTAGAAATTAAAATCAGTGTTTGGTATTTGAAGTTTCATCTTTATGGATCTGAAAATTGCATAGGAACGCAGATAAAAAATTCTTCCTCTTCTTCCGATCTGTTTCACCTGTTGTCTCCGAGTTAACCGATCAAAGGTCTTCGCCCTACCGTAGACGATCGCAGACAGTAATGTTTTTCCTCTCGCTGCCAAGGATGAGGAACGATGTACTTCCTCTGGAAGATATGTCTGAACGATGGTATCCGTCTTCACCAGTGGACGTGGCTGCCTTCTTCGATCTAGGAGAGACTGAACAATCTAAGCGAGAAAGACGGTCGATTAGTTCCTGAAATCCTTTACCTTTGATTAGTTTCAGACGATCAATTGAAGGAGATAAGGCCTTGTGCTTGAAATACATTATTAGATAATATCAAGGACATAGCTGCAATTTTTATTAAAGTCCTAGTTATTTTAAAACATTGCTGCTATTTATACGGACCTCTAGTCTCTAAATGAACCCATTCTTTTAGTAGGAGACTAAGTACATTGTGTTTATTAAACTAGAATATTTTAATAATAAAACATACGATTTTGATTATAGTTATCATTAAATTGAACAAGCTCTATATTAATTAGATTAATGATCATAGAGAATCAGTACATTTAATTTAATGAACTCGTCTTTACCGATGCTTATTATTATTGCGCATGCTTTTACTTTAATTGTTAATTGTATCTGTTTATAAATTAGATTTATATTGCATGCTTTAATTTTATCTGTTTGAGTTAGATCTCATTAACATATTATTTGATAATATGTTGGTAGCATCTTGATTAAGTAATTTAGTACCCCGCTAAACGTTCCCCATAAATTAAAATTTAAGTCTTATCTGGGATAACGACATCACCCATCATAATTAAATTAGTAGAAATATTTTTTCGTTGAAGAATATTTCACCCAAGTGTTTATTCCATTCGACAAAATATAGAACTAATTTATAGATACATATGTTTGTGATCGTGTGATGGTTTTGACTTACTTAAATTAGCTCGAGTCGCCCAAGCGTCAGTGTTAATTTAGGGATGTCGATCAATTTAAAAATTGATCGATCAAAAGTTGCTTGGACGCAATTGGTCTAGGGACCTACCCATTATATTATTGCAGTGATCAGCCCAAGCTGGGACTGTAATAGTATGAATGAGGATTTTGGCCACTATGATTGTAAAACATTCCATGTTCTTTTTATTGGGGTCAAAGAGCATGTAAAAATAGTGGGAGCTAAATAATTAAAAGTCCATATTATTTAGTTAACTAGATGTGATCATAGGAATTAATATATGATTCTAATTCCGTTCTATTTGAACTTCTTTAGGCTTTTAGGTATGTCGAATTTATCATTGAGAAGTATCTTGGATACAAATAATCTGATTGAACCAAACTTTCTAGACTTGGAACAAAATATGTGTTTCGTTCTTAGGCAAGAAAATATCGAATATGTATTTGATACATGTGTACCCGAGATCCTTGATGTTAGCTCTTTTGAATTAGCCATGTTTGACAAGGACATTCAGAAGAATCACATTGCTGAGGTACCAAATGATGTATGTCTCTACTGCAAAGAGATAGGACATTGGAAGAGAGTTTGTGAGATATACAAGACTAATCTAGCCAAAGCACCGAGTGCTTCTAGCTTAGGCATTTTTTTCATTGATATTAATATGTCTACAACTAACTCTCACTGTTGGGTATTAGATACGGCTTGTGGCTCACACATTTGCAATAGTGTGCAAGGCTTAAATGACAGTAGAGCAGTTAGGCTGGATGAGATTGACCTACGTGTAGGAAATGGAGCAAAAGTTGTTGCTGAACGTGTAGGGACTTATATATTAGATTTACCCAGTGGTTATAGATTAGAAATAAATAATTGTTATTTTGTT